TTTTTAGTACTTTAATAGATATTGCAAAAATTGCGATTTTCTGAAAATCTAATATTTTAATAGGTATGAAAGTTGCAATTCTCTGAAAGGGCTGTGTTAGCGTATACTCCCACTCACAGTACATGGGATAGTATCTGTTTCCCTCTGCTCTTCATTTTGCAAATTGAATGAGCAAAAACAATACTGTGTTATTTGAATTCTTTCCTTTCTCGATTTCTAGTGTGATTGAGCATCTAGTCTGTGTTTTTGGGGGGCGGGCAGGAATTTCCCCCATCTAAAGTGGTGTTTCATTTTTCTGCCATGGTTTTGAAATTTCAGCATGATGTGTCTGGGGTAGATCTTGTTTCCATTCATCTTGGTAGATACTCCCTTTCGTTCTCTGGACATTTTTCCCCCCTATAATTTGAGTGTCTCATCCCTTCTGTTTTCTCATCCTTTCCTTTGGGAACCGTTAGATGTTGAAAATTTTGGATCTAGTCTCTGTTCTTTAACTTTTTTTTTTTCAAGTTTTGCATCCTTATATACAGCATTGTGGGAAAATCCCTCGGCTTCATTTCCCAGGCTTGTTCTTCATCTGTGTCCATTCTGCCGCTCCATCAGCCAGCTGCTGAGTTTCTTAATGGGACTGTAATGATTCCCATCTTCTCGATTTCTTTCTGGTTCTTTTTCTTAACAAGTTGTTGTTTAGGTGTACAATTTCCTGTTTTAGCTCCTGAGGAGAAAATAGACCTGTTGTCTGTCTGTTCTTTGTTTCTTTTCTTTTTTTTCCTTTTCTTTTCTTGTAAACTTTATGCCCAACGTGGGGCTCAAACTCACGACCCTGAGATCAAGAGTCATATACTCTACTGACTGAGCCAGCCAGGTTCCCCCAAAATGGACCTGTTTTTATTAGAGTCCTTTTTTTTCTTTCTTTTCTTTTAAGATTGATTTATTTATTTTAGAGAGAGAGAGCATGGCGGGGAGGGGCAAAGAGAGAGGGAAACTCAAGCAGACTCCGTACTCAGTGCAGAGCCAATGTGGGGCTCGATCTCACAACCCTGAGATCACGACCTGACCTGAAACCAGGAGTTGGACACTCAGCTGACTACACCATGTAGGCTCCTCAAAGAGTCCTTTCTTTTAAAGCCTCCTTTTATTTGCTTTATTAACTGTTTCCTTCGTTGTTACTTCTCTTGGCTTGGTTTGGTGCTGTTTGATGATATCTGGTGAGACAAGTACATAAAAACAGTTTAGAAAGACTTCCAGCAAAAATAAGGAAAGCACCTAAATGAGAATATTTTTGCTACTTTACTCCCTGATAGCATCGGATGAGATAGGCTCTCTTGTAAAGACGTCCAATCCACGTAGTTATGCTGGATACATCTGTATTAGAGCTGTCTTCAAATTAATCAGTGTTTTGTTCATTCACTAAGTATTATTTAGTGCTTCCCACATACTAGGCATTGTACGAGGTGCTAAAGATTATTAATGCTTATATGGAAAATCATCGTGAACATAATTATGAGAAAAAAAGCAATTGGGATATATTGAAGGATATATCATATAATTTAGTGAAGTGTTTAATTGTCAAGAACATAATCTGGAAATATGGCCAGGATGAAGTCAGAAACAATCCACTGCACAGGTTAAAAGGAGTTCCGTCTTCTAAACTCTTAGAAGTTGCTAATGGGTAAAAAAAAAAGTTGCTAACGGGTATCTTCGGTTATGATCATCACTAGGACAAATCACTTCAAATGTTCAATAGTAAAAGACTCCAAAGTAGACTGATATATTAGTTCTTTTTTTTTTAAATTTAATTTTATTATGTTATGTTAATCACCATACATTACATCATTAGTTTTTGATGTAGTGTTCCATGATTCATTGTT